CAGGTACTGATGTTCGATGAGAAGACCTTGTTCACCCCACCATTCCAATTCATCCCTAAGGTGTTCAGTAGGGTTGAGGTCAGGACTCTCAAGTTCCTCCATGACCTCAACCCTACTGAATACCTTTTGGGAAAATACCTCATCCCAAAGGTGTTCTGTAGGGTTAAGGGCAGTTGCTGATGTTACATAAGACCTTAGTCTTTCAAAAGTAGGGTTGAGGTCAGGGCTCCATGTAGGACACTCAAGTTGCTCCACACCAAACTGGTCAAACCACGTCTTTATGGGGCTGGCTTTGTACACGGGGGACAGTCATGTTGGAACAGAAACCGGTCTTCACCAAACTGTCTCCACAAGGTTGAAAGAGCCCAATCATCTAAAACGAGGGTAGACAACCTCAGCACTCCAGCCATGATGAAACTACAAATCCCATAAGCCAGGGAGGTCCAAACTATGGCTCTTCATCTGTTGAAGTACTACAAGTCCCATCATGCATCTGCCTCTGAGTTTCTTGCCTGTGGATGTCAGAGTCTTGCAAGGCCTCATGGGACTTGCAGTTCCTCAACAACTGGAGGTCCATAGTTTGGACACCCCTGCCATAAGCATTGCACGACTCTGGCAGCCACCGTCTTGACCCCCAGAGGCTTGATAACGCATAGAAGGGGCCCCAATGGTGCAGTAATGTCAGCAATAGACTTCTTTATTTAACCCCTTCATGCCGCCCGCGTGCAAATGTGCGACCTCCCGGCGTCTGGGCCTAGAGGCCGAGCGGCCGCACATTTGCATTCATGTAACAAAAAACGCGCGCGCGCTCCCAACACACATGTGAGGTACTTCCATAAAGGTCCCGGTCCGCTCTTTCGATCGGGACCTTTCCCGATCACGTGACCGGCCGTGACGTCACGGCGGCCACATGACACTAAGACCCGCTCTTTCGATCGGGACCTTTCCCGATCACGTGACCGGCCGTGACGTCACAGCGGCCACATGACACTAAGATCCGCTCTTTCGATCGGGACCTTTCCCGATCATGTGACCAGACGTGACGTCACAGCGGCCACATGACACTAAGACCCGCTCTTTCGATCGGGACCTTTCCCGATCATGTGACCGGTCGTGACGTCACAGCGGCCACATGACACTAAGACCTGCTCTTTCGATCGGGACCTTTCCCGATCATGTGACCGGTCGTGACGTCACGGCGGCCACATGACACTAAGACCTGCTCTTTCGATCGGGACCTTTCCCGATCATGTGACCGGTCGTGACGTCACGGCGGCCACATGACACTAAGACCTGCTCTTTCGATCGGGACCTTTCCCGATCATGTGACCGGTCGTGACGTCACGGCGGCCACATGACACTAAGACCTGCTCTTTCGATCGGGACCTTTCCCGATCATGTGACCGGTCGTGACGTACGGCGGCCACATGACACTAAGACCCGCTCTTTCGATCGGGACCTTTCCCGATCACGTGACCGGTCGTGACGTCACGGCGGCCACATGACACTAAGACCCGGCCACCTCCCGGCGCAGGAACTCCTCTTCACACCGGGACGATTCGGCGTGAAGGGGTTAATAGACAGTCCTACTTACATCAGGTATAAAAACCACAAGATCACATACAGCATGGAGCAGACACCCACACGGGGCCACACACGTGACGTCATTCCGCACGCTGGGAGGAAACTCTGGCAGTATCTTCCATTCCGTATGTGATCTAGCGGTTGTGCTGTTTATTATCTGCAGCCCTCTCACCTCTACAGCCCCCTAAACCGCACATTTTGCGCAGCATTTTTCTGATCATTAGAAGGCAGGGGGTGGGGTTCTGACGTCACAAACCCGCACATCATAGAGCAGGGAGCCTAGTGTAATCTGGGACCTAAAAAAAAAAAAAAAAGTCCCCGACCCTGTCCGAAAGGCTGAAAACGCGTAGATGCGAGCGTGTCCCATAGGAAACCATGGACTGTAGCACTACAAAAAAACGCATAGGTGTGATCCAGGCCTGAGACCGGATGGAGCGAACTGATCGACTTTTGGCAGATAAAGCCGCTCTTCTCCTGTCTCATCTGTGTATTCGGCGGTTGGCCTGGAGTTCAGCTTTAGATCCGGCACGGCTCATGCTGCATTCTGCCGTAGTATGGCGCTCCATGCGCATCGACGTGCCTCTCTGCGACCCTGCGTTTCTACTTTTGGTCCTCCGCATAGACACTTTTAGCGATTTTTTTTTTTTTTTTTTTTTTTTTTTTTTTTTTTTTTTATCCGTTCCGTACAGAAACACGCCGCATTCTTGACATTTCTATAATCTCCGTGCAAGCTGAAAGGGCAGCGAGGTCCTAAAAAAAAAAGGGGGATAAGATTGGAAATTCGATGGAATATCCTGTGCGGCGGCGTGCTGACCGCATGAAACTACCATTAACCTCTTCCCGTCCGGCCGTTGTATATAAACGGCCAGATGGTGGCAGTGCAGGAGCGGGTGGACGTTTATAAACGGCCTCCCCGCCCCGTGCTTGTGCGCGCTCCCTGGGAGCGTGCAGCACCGCGATCTGGTGCCCACCGGATACAGCGGAACACCGATTGTCGTACGGGACCTCTGTGCGAGGTCCCGATCATGTGATCACTGATTGGCCAATCAAAGATCACATGGAGAGTAGTAAGCAAGAGGTCACTTCTGATATCATTGCTTACTACATGTGAAATCTGTGAGTGATCACAAAGATCACATGGTACAGGGCCATTCACAGCAGCCTTGTACCATGTGACAAGCTGTGACCAATCACAGCTCACACAGTAGTTCTCAATGGCTGCAGGAATGCAGCCACAGAGAAGGAGAAATGATTGCTTTTACAGCCTTTATGGGTGTAAAAGCAATCAGTGTAAAAAAAAAAAAACCCATCTTTATCACCCCCCACAAGTAGTACAGTGTCACCATGGTGACACCGTACTGCTAGGGTGATAGTATGTAAAAAAAAAAAAATATATAACAATGTAAAAAAAAGTTTCAAAATTATATATTTTGGTTATAAACTAATTTGGGTTATTTTTTATTTATTTATTTTATTACTAAAAAGATAACGGAATAAATTTTGGCTAAGATTTATGATGAAATCTTATTTATTTTCAAAATTGTATAAGAAAAACACTTTTTTTTTTTTTTTTTTTTTTTTTTTTTTTTTTTTTCGTGCGTCCCCCCAAAATTTTTGGACTTTTTCATTTATATAGCAAAAAAATAAATAAAGTTTATTTTGTGGTGAATAAATACCACCAAAATAAAGCTTTATCTGTCTCAAAAAAATGCTAAAAAATTCATATGGGTACAGTGTTGCATGACCGCGCAATTGTCATTCAAAGTGTGATAGCGCTGAAAGCTGAAAATTGGCCTGGAGAGGAAGGGGGTGAAAGTGTCCGGACTGGAAGGGGGTGAAAGTGTCCGGACTGGAAGGGGGTGAAAGTGTCCGGACTGGAAGGGGGGTGAAAGTGTCCGGACTGGAAGGGGGGGAAAGTGTCCGGACTGGAAGGGGGGGAAAGTGTCCGGACTGGAAGGGGGGGAAAGTGTCCGGACTGGAAGGGGGTGAAAGTGTCCGGACTGGAAGGGGGTGAAAGTGTCCGGACTGGAAGGGGGTGAAAGTGTCCGGACTGGAAGGGGGTGAAAGTGTCCGGACTGGAAGGGGGTGAAAGTGTCCGGACCGGAAGGGGGTGAAAGCGTCCGGACCGGAAGGGGGTGAAAGCGTCCGGACCGGAAGGGGGTGAAAGCGTCCGGACCGGAAGGGGGTGAAAGCGTCCGGACCGGAAGGGGGTGAAAGCGTCCGGACCGGAAGGGGGTGAAAGCGTCCGGACCGGAAGGGGGTGAAAGCGTCCGGACCGGAAGGGGGTGAAAGCGTCCGGACCGGAAGGGGGTGAAAGCGTCCGGACCGGAAGGGGGTGAAAGCGTCCGGACCGGAAGGGGGTGAAAGCGTCCGGACCGGAAGGGGGGGATAGCGTCCGGACCGGAAGGGGGGGTATAGCGTCCGGACCGGAAGGGGGAAAGGGTCCGGACCGGAAGGGGGTGAAAGCGTCCGGACCGGAAGGGGGGGAAGTGTCTGGACACTAACGTTCGGAAGAACTCCTCTGGAATTTGTGGTTCAGTTTTGGACTTCAGTTCATATGGTGGAAAAAAAAAACTGGAGAGAAAGTGCAGGGATGGAGAATTAAACGAGTGGTGCCTGGTTGGGCTGGGTGGGGCATGGTGGTGGCTGACGTTGGTTGTGGTTGAGGGGACCGGGGGGGGGGGGTTTGCTAGGTTCTAGGTTTAGGGTTCCAAGACCCTTCCAGTGTTGAATTGTTCCAATTCATGCCGAAGGTCTTCAATAGGTTTGAGGTCAGGGATATGTGTAGGACACTCGAGTTCCTTCACATGAAACTGGTCAAACCACGTCTTTATGGATCTGGCTTTCATCTTCTGGGAGCAGGGGTCTCCAAACTGCGGCCCATAGGCCGGATTTGGCCCTTTGCTTGCTTTTATCCGGCCCTCCACTGGTAGGATGCACTATCCCCCCACTGACTGACCCCAACGATGGGGCGCCAGTCCTCCCCACTGACCCCAACGATGGGGCGCCAGTCCTCCCCACTGACCCCAACGATGGGGCGCCAGTCCTCCCCACTGACCCCAATTATGTAAATATTTTTACCTCCATTTAGTAAACCAAGCCCAAGGCATTTTCTATTCCCACTGGCCCCAGTCCGGCCCCCCTAAATATCGAAGGACGGTAAACTGGCCCTTTTTGTTTCAAAAGTTTGGAGACCCCTGTTGTAGAGCCACGATGGAGTAAGATGGGGAAAGGTGTCGGTCAGTGGAGCTAGGTGCAGTGTCGTTAACAACCCTGGAACAATAAAGTTGTTCTGCCTAACAAAGCCGTAGCTTCTATGATGTGCGTGTAACAAAGATCCAGAAATCGATCGATTCCATGCTCCTCCTCCACGCTATGTATGAGCTCAGCGATTGGATGCGTTTGTGTTTTGGCAGGTGCAGCCTCCCCCTCTTCTACCAGCACTCTCAGAAGAATATTCCGGCGACGTTCATCTTCAGTGGAGCCTTGGTGAAGTTCGGACAAGGATTTGGGAAAACAAATATATTTACTCAGAAGCCCGACCCCCCCTAAAAAGGTGATTATTACAGACACCGATCGTGTCATCCTGGGGTATCCTGGAGGCTCTGGACTCTGCAGTGTGTCTTCCATAGTGGGGTAAAACTGGACTCTGGGGCCTGCTCGTGGAGGTCCTGTTGTGGGGCCTGCTCGCGGAGGTCCTGTTGTGGGGCCTGCTCGCGGAGGTCCTGTTGTGGGGCCTGCTCGCGGAGGTCCTGTTGTGGGGCCTGCTCGCGGAGGTCCTCTTGTGGGGCCTGCTCGCGGAGGTCCTCTTGTGGGGCCTGCTCGCGGAGGTCCTCTTGTGGGGCCTGCTCGCGGAGGTCCTCTTGTGGGGCCTGCTCGCGGAGATGCCTCTCTAGGAGTAAGCTCATTTGGGTGAAACCCACTGGGGGGGGAAGGTTTCAAGGGCAGGGACTCCATAGTGACTGTTGGCTTCAATTCCTAGCCAGGTTGCTCCTCTTCTGCTCACTGCACCAGATGAAGATCAATTGCCATCTGCTCTCCAACACGCCTTTTGAGACCCCCCTCTAATGAACTTCACCTGAAAGGGCATACTCCGGAGGTCATTTCTAGGCCTGCTCGTGGAGGTCCTGTTGTGGGGCCTGCTCGCGGAGGTCCTGTTGTGGGGCCTGCTCGCGGAGGGCTTCTAGTGGGGCCTGCTCGCGGAGGGCTTCTAGTGGGGCCTGCTCGCGGAGGGCTTCTAGTGGGGCCTGCTCGCGGAGGTCTTCTAGTGGGGCCTGCTCGCGGAGGTCTTCTAGTGGGGCCTGCTCGCGGAGGTCTTCTAGTGGGGCCTGCTCGCGGAGGTCCTCTGGTGGGGCCTGCTCGCGGAGGTCCTCTGGTGGGGCCTGCTCGCGGAGGTCCTCTGGTGGGGCCTGCTCGCGGAGGTCCTCTGGTGGGGCCTGCTCGCGGAGGTCCTCTGGTGGGGCCTGCTCGCGGAGGTCCTCTGGTGGGGCCTGCTCGCGGAGGTCCTCTGGTGGGGCCTGCTCGCGGAGGTCCTCTGGTGGGGCCTGCTCGCGGAGGTCCTCTGGTGGGGCCTGCTCGCGGAGGTCCTCTGGTGGGGCCTGCTCGCGGAGGTCTTCTGGTGGGCCTGCTGCTATAGGTCGGGCAGGACACTTGCTGTTGCAACTGGGCATCATATGACGTCCTGTCCAAAACGAGTCGCTAATGCGTCCGCAGTGCGATCTGTCACCAGCGGTGTCCACGGGACACAGCCAATGACCTATCACTGGTCAAGGCAGTCACATGATACAGACAGGGCCAATCACAGCCCATCTGTATCATGTGATCAGCTTTGCCCAATCACAGCTAATCACAACAAAAGACTGAATCTGTTTCATTCAGTAACAATTGTTGCAAATATCAGTGAAATACATCCGCAATTATAATGTGTTTTAAAAAAAAATAAGAAAAAATGTAATAAAAATAAATAATAGAAATGTTTGAAAAAAAATTATTTCTTTGGTCACAGTGTGCTGAAAAATAAAATGGTAAGAAAAAAAATGTAATAAAAAATAGAAACATTTGTAAAAAAAAATTGCTTTGGTCACAGTGTGCTGAAAAAGAAAAATGGTGAAAAAATGTATTAAAAAAATAATAATAAACATTTGGAAAACAATATTGCTTTGGTTAAATGTGCTGAAAAATAAAATGGTAAAAAAAAGAAAAAAAAATTAATAAATAAATTAAGAGAAACATTTGGAAAGAAAATATTGATTTGGTCACAGTGTGCTAAAAAATAAAATGGTGAAAAAAGGTAACAAAAAAATAAATAGAAACATTTGGAAAAAAAAAAATTGCTTTTGGCACAGTGTGCTGAAAAATAAAATTAGTAAAAAAAAAACGAAAACATTTAATAAAAAATAAATAGGAATATTTGAAAGAAAAATATTGCTTTTGTCAGTGTGATGAAAAATAAAATAGTAAAAAATAAATTAGAGAAACATTTGAAAAAAAATATTTGCTTTGGTCACAGCGTGCTGAAAAATAAAATGGTGAAAAAATTTATTAAAAAAAAATAATAGAAACATTTGGAAAACAATATTGCTTTGGTTAATGTGCTGAAAAATAAATGATGTAAAAAAATTAATAAATAAATTATAAGAGAAACATTTGGAAAGAAAAATATTGATTTGGTCACAGTGTGCTAAAAAATAAAATGGTGAAAAAAGGTAACACAAAAAATAAATAGAAACATTGAAAAAAAAAAATATTGCTTTGGGCACAGTGTGCTGAAATATAAAATCGTAAAGAAAAAGAAAAAAATGTAATAAAAAAAAATAGAAACATTTGGAAAAAAATATTGCTTTTGGGCACAGTGTGCTGAAAAATAAAATTAGTAAAAAAAAAACGAAAAACATTTAATAAAAAATAAATAGGGATATTTGAAAGAAAAATATTGCTTTTGTCAGTGTGATGAAAAATAAAATAGTAAAAAAAAAAAAAATTAGAGAAACATTTGAAAAATAATATTGCTTTGGTCACAGCGTGCTGAAAAATAAAATGGTGAAAAAAATTTATTAAAAAAAAAATAATAGAAACATTTGGAAAACAATATTGCTTTGGTCACAGTGTGCTGAAAAATAAAATGGTAAAAAAATTAATAAATAAATTAAGAGAAAATTTAGAAAAGAAAATATTGATTTGGTCACAGTGTGCTAAAAAATAAAATGGTGAAAAAAGGTAACAAAAAAATAAATAGAAAACATTTGAAAAAAAAAAATATTGCTTTGGGCACAGTGTGCTGAAATATAAAATAGTAAAGAAAAAGAAAAAAATGTAATAAAAAATAAATAGAAACATTTGGAAAAAAAAATATTGCTTTTGGCACAGTGTGCTGAAATATAAAATAGTAAAGAAAAAGAAAAAAAATGTAATAAAAAATAAATAGAAACATTTTTGGAAAAAAAATATTGCTTTTGGCACAGTGTGCTGAAAAATAAAAATTAGTAAAAAAAAAAAAGAAAAACATTTAATAAAAAATAAATAGGGATATTTGAAAGAAAAATATTGCTTTTGTCAGTGTGATGAAAAATAAAATAGTAAAAAAAAAAAAAATTAGAGAAAACATTTGAAAAATAATATTGCTTTGGTCACAGCGTGCTGAAAAATAAAATGGTGAAAAATGTAATAAATAAATTAAGAGAAACATTTGGAAAAACAATTATTGCTTTGGTCACAAGTGTGCTGAAAAACAAAATAGTAAAAAAAAGAAAATGTAATAAAAAATAAATAGAAACTTTTGAAAAAAAAAATACAAATTCTATTATTATTTTCACCAAATGTAGCAGAATACATTTTGACCTACATTTTATGAAGAAAGATTATTTATTTGCAAAATTTTATAACAAATAAAGAAAGGTGTGTGTGTGTTTTTTTTTTTTTTTTTTTTTTTTTTTTTTCAAAAGTTTCAGGTGTTTTTGTTTTATTTAGCAAAAAATAAAAAAACTCAGCGGTGATTAAATACCACCAAAATAAAGCTCTATATGTGTGAAAGAAACAATGCTAAAAATGTCATCTGGGTACAGTGTTGCATGACCGCGCTATTGTCATTCAGAGTGCGACAGCGCTGAAAATTGGGTAGGAAGGGGGTAGAAGTGCCCGGTAGGCGAGGGGTTCAGGACACCCCAAAAACAGATCTCAAAACGCAGTGCGGTTGCTGGATATCCCATCCCGCGGTCTCGGGTGCCCCTTTTTGGTGCGGAGGCGACGTGATTTGAGCCACATGAAATGTATGGTTCAGATCGCACTGCGCAGACATCTTGTGTGGAATTCCATTACATGCGTCGTCCCGCATCGTGGGAACCCGCGCCGAATTTACAGTACGACTTGTATCACAATTGTATTATAGAAGATTTTTTTTTTTTTCTATATAAATTGGACTTCCCTCTTAAGTGCGGCCGATTTACTTGCATATAGATAGATAGGTTTTTTTCTGTGGGTTTATTTTTCTGTTTCTTCTTCTCCGGTTTTTTGTTTTCTGTTTCTGTGTTTTTCTTTGTTTTTTTTTTTTTGTTCATTTTTTTTCTATTTTTTTTTCTTAGTTTTTCTTTTCTGTTCTGTTTCTTTTTTTCTGTTTTTTTTCGTTTTTTTCTGTTTTTTTTTCTTAGTTTTTCTTTTCTGTTCTGTTTCTTTTTTTCTGTTTTTTTTTTTCTTTTTTTTTCTTTTCTTCGTTTTTCTTTTCTGTTTCTTTTTTCTTTGTTTTTTTTTTTTTCTGTTTGTTTTTTTCCTTTTTTCTTTTTTTTTTCGGATTCATTTTTCTGTTTTTTTTTTTTTTTGTTTTCTGTTACTTTTCTTCGTTTTTTTATTTTGTGTCCTTTTTTTTTGCCTTTTTTTTTTTAGTTTTTCTTTTCTGTTCTGTTTTTGTTTTCTGTTTTTTTTTTTTTGTTTTTGTTCTTTTCTTAGTTTTTTTTTCCCCCTTTTTTTTTTGGCTCTGTTTCTTTTTTTTTTTTTTTGTTTTCTTTTACTTTATCTTTCAGTTTTTTTTTCTTTTTGTTCTGTTTTTTTGTGTTTGTTTTTCTGTTTTTTTTTTTTTCTGTTTTTTCTTTTCTTTTGTTCTGTTTACTTTTTCTTCGTTTTTTTCTTTTTCTTGTTTTTTTTCTTTTTTTTTTTTTTTTTTTTTTTTTTCTTGTTCTTTGTTTTTTTTTTTTTTTATCTGTTTTTTTTTTTCTTAGTTTTTCTTTTCTGTTCTGTTTCTTTTTTTCTGTTTTTTTTCTTCGTTTTTGTTTTCTGTTTGTTTCTTTTTTCTTTGTTTTTTTTTTTTTTTTTCTGTTTGTTTTTTTTCGGAATTCCTTTTTGTTTTTTTTTCGGATTCATTTTTCTGGGTTTTTTTTGTTTTCTGTTACTTTTCTTCGTTTTTTTTTTTGTGTCCTTTTTTTTTCTTCGGTTTTTTTTTATGTTGTTTCTTAGTTTTTCTTTTTTGTTTTTTTTCTGTTTCTGTTTTTCTGTTTTTTTTTTGTTTTCTGTTACTTTTCTTTGTTTTTTTTTTTTGTTTTTTTTGTTTTCCTTCCTTTTTTTTTTTTTTTTT